AGCAAAAGTGCAGATGGTCTCCATCTCAATCAAGGGAAATATGTGCTTGATTTGCTAAAGAGAGTAAACATGGAAGAAGCTAAAGGAGTGCCTACCCCTATGGTATCCTCACTGCAGCTTACAAAGGAAGGTGGTGATCCCACAATAGATCACACTTTATATAGAAGTGTAGTAGGAGCCTTGCAGTACATTACCTTAACAAGGCCTGAGGTGAGCTTTGCTGTTAATAAGGTAAGCCAGTATATGTCAAGCCCCTTAGATACTCATTGGAAAGCTGTTAAAAGAATCTTAAGGTATCTAAGTGGTACAGCAGATCATGGCTTGCATTTGAAAAGATCAGCTCATCTTGATTTAAAAGCTTTTTCAGATTCTGATTGGGGAGCAGATTTAGATGATAGAAGGTCCACAACCGGTTATTGTGTTTTTCTTGGAAGCTGCTTAGTATCTTGGTGTTCTAAGAAGCAAAGCTCAGTCTCTAGATCTAGTACTGAAGCAGAATATAGAAGCTTATCTCATGCTGCCTCTGAGGTTACTTGGATACAGTCTTTACTAAGTGAAATAGGGATGAAAATTTTCAAGACACCTGTGATTTGGGTGGATAATCAGAGTGCAGTCTTCTTGGCATCAAATGCAGTGATGCATGGTAGGACCAAGCATGTGGAACTTGATTACCATTTTGTCAGAGAAAAAGTGGAAAAGGGAAGTCTGTTAGTATGCCACATTCCCTCAGCTGAACAAGTAAGTGATGTCCTTACCAAACCACTTTCTCTTCAATCCTTCTCTCGGCTTAAAGATAAATTGGGAGTAACAAGTAAAGGCTCGATCGGATTGAGGGGGAGTGTTAGCAATGCTGAAGAAATGCAACAGGAGACTAAGTCAAGAAAAATGCACGTCGAGCATGCACCATACAATGAGCCAGCATGGACATGCAGACAAGGAAAAGCTGCCAAAGTTAAAGCTGCAGAAAAGAAGCAAACTCCCAGTTTGAATTATTTAGAACCGTAGGATTGTTTTCAAATTAAGGACACCTGTCCACTTGATCCACCTTTGATGTGTATATAAATATTTTCCCTCAGCTCATGTAAAACCTATTGAACATTGTGTACGTGAGAAATGATAGCTGCGCTCCATTGATCTCCATCTTCTCTGCTTTATTGTATTTTTTTGTTTGAGATCTGAAAATGGCTATGGTGTATTTTCAATATTCTTGAGGTTCTTTATATATTTAATTTTATTATGTATATATAAATATATACTATTTATGATTTATGTGAATATATAAGAGTTAAAGGAAAACAGTTTTGAAGGCACCAACAAGACAATTGCCTAAATGGCAAAAATTCAATTTTGGTCCTTTAAATTGGTAATTGTTCAGTTTTAGTACATCAACTTTTTTTTAGTACACCAACTTTAATTTCCCTCATAAAAATTAGTCCACTATGTTACAATTTTCGTCAATTTTAGTACAGTAATACCGGGGGACCGAATTACGTGATGACGTGAAAAATTGTAATCCTTTGTCAAAGTCCTATCCATCCAAGTCGTTTTAATCCTTGTCCACGTCATCACGTAATTCGGTATCTCGGAATTACTGTAGTAAATTGATGAAAATTGTAATATAGTAGACTGTTTTTTTATTAGGAGAAAGTTGGTTTACCAAAATTGAACAATGGCTAATATAGAAGACTAAAATTGAATTTTTCCTATTGCCTAAAGTATTTTTGAATATTGGTGCCCATAGGATATTGTTATGATAAATATAAACACATCTAATTAAACTATCTCTTTCTTATGAAGTTCACCTTTTTAACACAAATTAATTAGAAGAAAATTCTTAAAATGTCAATCCGTTGACAATATATAAAATTGCACCGTTATTTCGTGAATATAAAGACCCACACATCTTAAATAATTTTGTAACGTGTAGTTGTCCTTCAACAACTTAAATAATTTTTGTAACAAATATATTTTATAACAACGTTATGTTTTATACTAAAAATATTATATTCTGTTTGAATGACATTTTAATTTAATGGTAGTTGCTCTATATTAATGATATTGCAATTTTGTACATTGATGACTTAACGAAATTCCTTGCACTTGTTATATAGAAATGCGAGGCGATGACGTCCATATACTTAGAACCATGAATCATAATGTAACTAGTACAACACCCGTGTATTATACGGGTACTTGTTAAAGAATTATTCTTAAATTTTAAAATTAATGAGAAAACTATATTAAATTTAGTTTACTTTTTTACAAAAAAAATATATTACTATATCTTTTAGAATGATATGTGTTACTTATGACTTACATGTGTTATAGTATATTAATTTTTATAACTTATATCATATAACTACTTGAAATATAAATATATTAGTTGATAAATAATTTTATTTTTCTAATTAATATTAAAAATAATTTTATTATTGTTATAAATATAAATATAATTATTTTTTTATACATACAATATGGATGTTAAATCGAAGCTCATCAAAAGAAGATTAATTTGATATATTACATATGTAAAACCGATAAAAAATACAAAAGTTATTAACTTTTAAAATATATATACAGTTCAATAGTTATAATAAAGAATGATATTAAAATCAATTAATACATGTAACATGACCATAAATAATCAACATATTTATGGTAATCCAAACCTAATTATTTTTTGTTTGGAATTAAATTAAAATTTACCCAAGCCTAATAACGAAGCATGTAATTTTGTCACATAGGATTCCGAATCACCAGAAGCAGCCACGTAGGCTCAGCGCATTCTGTATTAATATATAGGGGGATAATATAAGAAAATGTCAAGGTCCTTTTACGGAACCATTTTTTTAGGATGTGTAACTGTTAGATTATCATGTACCGTAAAAAATAGTTGAGCTAACGATTACAAATCCTGACGGAATAGTTCCGTAACAGGATCGTAGCATCTTACAATAATATATATTAAAACAAATTATGTCGAATTTGTGGTTAGTTATACGAATTTAATAATTAAAAGTTTATGGGCATGAAAAACTTTTATTTTCCGAATTAATGCCATAAAGTGAATATATATCAACTTGTGTACGACACCTTAAACCATCCCGTGAGTGATTAAATACATCTTAATTTGCTACCTGTGTGGCAAGGCGCATCATGCAATTAATCAAAATTCAACCATAATATGAGTTGACTTTTTTCAATTGTTTTGATTTTTTTTTTTCACTATATATATCATGGTAGCTTTTTAGTTTTTTTTTTTAGTTTTTAGTTCTTAGTGTTTGTCGTGTATTTTTTGGTTTCTAGCGTTGCTAGTGTTGGGATTCTATACGGTCGTTAGACATGTCTTTCTATCTTATTCTCCCGTTGGGAGCTTTGTACTTTTATTCGCACTTTGTGCATTTTAATTTATAATAATTCTCCTATCGTTCCGGAAAAAAAATATATATATATCATGGTACGGAGAGATTAAAGCAAGAGATTTGAAAAAAAAAACAAATAGTAATATGTATAATGTATGCATTTTGTAATATTATTTTTAAGCAAAATTGATTGTTGTAAATGAGAAACTATGTGCGGGGAAAATAAAATAACAAAATAATTGAAAAAAAAAAGACAAAAATCTCCCTGTGGCAACACTAAAATGATAAAATTGAAATTGTTGTCCAAGTTGTTTTTAGTCAATGGGTTCAGTTGGGTATCATGTTAGGGCTATATAGATAGATTGGGGGACCATCCTAAAGTATTTATTTGGTATCATAAATTTAATTATGCTAATGTGACTATAAATGAATTTGCAACTATTATGCTCCATAATATTTGTTAATAATTAGTGGGTCTGTAACTAACTAGTCTGCATGGTGGCATGACTCAGTGAATATCATGTGTAGCAATTATATGTGAGTTCATAATTTTTTTTTATATATATATATATTTTTATTTTTAGGTTTATGAAACTTTAGTGTTATGTAACAATAATTTTAGGACAAATGTTGCTATCTTTATTCAACAACAACAACAACAACAACAATAATAATAATAATAATAATAATAATAATAATAATAATAATAATAATAATAATAATAATAATAATAATAATAATAATAATAATAATAAAGAATGTGACAAAATAGTAACACTTTTTTTTCGAAAATGATAGATAATATTATAATGAAAATGCACAAATGTACGAATATATAGCTCCTAGCTGAATGGAACAACCAACAGCTGATAAAGTTTGGTTGATAAAGTGAAAAGACAAGTCAGAAGACCGTCTAGAATCCCAACAGTAGCAAAGTTAGAAAAACTGTTAATCATTTATACATTTTAAGCAAATATGCACACTTTCATACTCGAATGCCATACTTCATTTGTTCGCAATCTACATTTTTATTTAAATAGTATGACAAGTTTACCAGCCTGACCGTTATGCTAGGTCATTGTACAATTTGTGTTTGCCTAATGACATATCATTTTAGTCAAATCCAGCAATATGCTAGTTTGAGCATTACATGTATGAATCAAGGAAATAAATAGCTCACTAAAGTTGCCGCTATTTGAGAAATAGCTTTTTTTGGCAACGTGCCGCTGTTTGTATTCATGTGCAATTTAGCCGCTAAATCTCCGCTATAGCTACAGTGCCATAAACGTTTTAGCCCGCTATTTAAAACCTTGGTATGAATATACCCTCACTATCTCATAATTCACAAATATCAACTAAAATATCATGCTTCACAATACACAACTACTTGGCTAAAATTCATGTTTCACAGTAGTTGACTGATATCAGCATTCAACACTCTTCAAACCAAGGAGTATTTGCAAATTCTTTAATTATATATACACAATAGAAAGTGATTTTGTGCTTCCAACCGAGAAAATATGATAGATTTATCCGGTCGAAAATTGTGTAGTTGCTTCTCTTATATAGTATACATAACACTACAAATATAATCCCGGGGCATTATCAGATGAGTTCAATCTTTCCCCGTCAATCGATACTTGTCAGCCCAAACACAATAGCAATTGTGGCTAACACAGCCTGAACAAGATGGAGAGACACAATTTCATTGATAATAATTAAAAAAAAAAAACATATGAATATATGATGAGAATATTCTCAGCCGAAATACCGTTCATTAGTTCCCAGGTGAACATATACACACACCAAGATGGTCATCTACTAAATTGCAAAGAGCCATCTGACATGTTTTAATTTTACAAATAGCTACTATAGAAGTGGGTATTTATCAAGAAGGGGCAATTCTTATTGGAATAAAAGCGATACTTTCAACTTTTAAGTGTTTCTTTCACACTTTTAAAAGATAAATGAGACCTTTTTTTTTGTAAATGTGCAAAATTCCAAGGACAGTTTTTGTAATTATCTTCATGTCGTGTGTAATGTTCAATTCAATAGCAAATCATGAGTATTCCTAAAGATAAAAGAAAATGTAACTAACTGTGCATTGTGTACATGCATAAATTTTCCAAAAAAATAAACCAATGTCTTGAATTTTGAGTGAACTGTTTCAAGTCCTTTACTTTTTACGAGCCCAGTAGATTAAATTGAGAAATTTTTACGGGGAAAAAAAAAGAATGCTTACAGCAATAGCACAAGCAACATATCCTGGTTTCTCACGAGGGTCGATTCTTGAACATAAGAGAAGCAATGCTGCAAAATACCATGGAATTGCAGCCAGGAAGAATCCAATAATGAACCTTAAAAAGTAATAAAAAATAAAAAAAATAATAAAATACAAGTTACTTCATGTACATTATTGTACAACTTGAAGGAATCAATATTTTCAAGCCAACTACACAAGATAAATAGATAAATAATCAAACTCCTTCCCAATAAGTTACTTTAATCAGCCAGCAGTTCTTTGAAAAAATATGTACAGCATTGACCGACTCAAAATACCAATTCACTAAAATCACAAACAAATGACGAAAAAATATTTGGAATTCAGCTACACTTTCATTTCATATTATTTAATATCACATAATTCATGTGATTGTGTCATAATAATTGAACAATCAATTTTAGAAGAATGGTTTGTGTGTTGTGGTGGTTCTATATACATCGACTTCGGCTGGACTGAACGTTCTTTACTATTAATCTGTTAAAAGCACACAACCAAACCCTCGAGTAAACTTAAGATAAAAAGCATAAATGCAATTAAATTATACAGAAACAATGAGCCAACATCATGGAAAAAAAATAAGTTGTGTCTTGATGAAGCTTACAATAACCAGCCGATGCCAATGCCACAGCAAGGAAGGCGGCGTTCCCTTACAGGTCTTCCTTCTGCAACAGTATAAACTGCACCATATTTTACATAAATATCCAATATGAATTGCGAAATTATGGATTAAAACAGGAAAGGTTACAGATTTATGCATCAAACTTGCCCCTACAAATCCAAAGGCTTGATCTTTCTGTAAGCATCATATTTCATCTTTTATTATCAGAAAGGATTTCAATCCGATATCAGATTAGCACAATATCACAATTTTAACATCACTGAACTTCAAATTCACTAACTTTTCCCAGGGATTAATATACAGACCAACAACAATTACAGATTTGTACATCAAATTGCCCCCACAAAACCAAAGGCATGATCTTTTAGTAATTATCAGAAAGTACTTCAGTCAAAATATTGTCCCTTTGGAGACATCCGATAAAATTGGAACGATACAGAGAAGATTAGCATGGCCCCTGTGCAAGGATGACACGCATAAATCGAGAAATGGTCCAAACTATTGGATTTAGCACAAAAAGTACAATTTTAACATCACCTGAACTTCAAATTCACTAACTTTGTGCTGGGATTAATATCAAGATCAAGAATTAGGTTCCAAATGTCTCAACAACATAAATCCTGCTAAGATCTGAAAACAGGGCTGACCAAGATAATATATAGAATCCCAAAATATTTCTCGAAATAATTACAGTACAGAACATGAGTTCAACTCCAAAGGAAATCCCCGAATAATCAAAGATCTGAGCATATTACGCACAAAGATGAAATCTTTCTTAACTGGGTTTACTCGTTTGTCAAAAAATAGGCAGGTAAGGTACCTGGGACAGCTTGATAACCGTGAGCATAGTACTGAGACGGTGGCGGGCCACCGGAAACTCCAGGCGGCGGAACAGGCTGAGGAAAGCCTATCGCCGTCGGCGGCGGGTGGTTGGCGACGCCCTGGAAGGTCCCGTACGGCGGCGGATAGGGCTGCTCGTGGTGGTGATGGGTTTCTCTTTTTTCTTCACTCATAACTGATCCTCTGTCTCTCCTTGCCTTCGCTTGCACTTCTTTGGTTGAAGAAGATGAAGCGTGTTGAATTTTCACAAATCACAAAATAGTACAAAGATAATAATGCTTCACAATCACATAATAATGTCTCCCTCCATCTACCAAAATAATTATGGTCTTCAATGATTCGAGCAAGAAACCATATAAATAAATTATATACACTATTTAATTAAATAAAAGAAAATGCTACAATGGAACAATTCCATTGTATAAAATTTCAATAAGAAACTGTCACATCACCCTTTTTTTTATTAGATTTAAGTGTCTATATTAAAACTAAAAGATCTAAAGACTTATATGATTTGAAGAAAGCATTCCCCAACCGCTTTAATTATAATAGTTGTATGTTGTTTCAACACTTAAGTTCAATTTGACTTGTGAAAACTTGAGTTTGACTCATCAATCACTTAATAAGACGAATTCAAATGAGTCGAGCAAATAATATTTTTTTATTTTATTTTTTGTAAGTTTTAAACAAACAAGCCAGACAAACATATTTGTAAATGCAAATAACGTATTCTAGGATTACAAATTTTCTATTACAAAATTGTTAAACGAGTCGACCTTCCATGAGCTTACCACCAAACATAATTTGTAAACGCTTAAGTCGTCTTGGATTACAAATTTTTTAATACTCCTTCATATTCACAATATATATCGTTTTGAGAAGTTGCACAATAATTAATTTTTTTTTTTCAATAATAACTCTTTTTAATGAAAATTAATAACAAGTGAATATGAAAATAAGTAGTGTATTTATTAGCTAAATAAGGATAATAATGGAAAAAATATGTACAAAAGAAAAAAAAAAACGTTATTTATTTAATTAATTGTTAATAAAATCAAAATGACATTTAAAAAGAATTAGAGGTAGTACAAATTTGTTAAATAAACATATCTTTCATGAGTTTACGATAAATTGCCATTTTCTTAATGACTCAAGTGAATTGCTTTTGCACCTACAAAATAGTAGAGAAACGGAAAATGCCTTAATCAACACAATTCTTGAATGTTTTATAGAGCACATTTTTTTTTTTTTTTTTTTTGGGTAATGCGATTTAGCCTACTTGGATAATACGACCGTGTAAATGCATTATCAATAATTGTAACCCTTGTCATGTTAGTTCTAAAGCATTACTCTCTTTTTTTTTTTTGGCTGTCAACTAGAGGGTCCAACTAAAGTTGCTAATGGAGCAAACTTCAGGGTACGGGTGTTCACGGTCCGGATTGGTCCGGTTTTAGCCCAAACCATGACCAAACCGGACCTAACGGTTAATTTTTTTTCTTGTCCATAACCGGACCGGTTTTATTTTTTAACCAACCACAATCCGAACCGCATTGGACGGTCCGGTTTGGCGGTTAACCGATTAAATCCAAAATTCTTGTTTTGGGCCTTCAATTTTATTTTTTTCATTTTGGGCTTAATTTTCATTTTTCAATTTTGAGCCCAAAAAAAATTATTTGGGCCTAAAAATTAGGAAAAATAACAATAATGAAATAAAAAATATACAATTCGTCCTATAAGCATAAAAATACACATTTCGTCCCGTAAACATAAAAATATAAAAATGATGAAGATTAAATTATGCAAAAAAGCTAAAAAATGATAGTGAATTTATTATATTTGTCAGTCATAGTGAATGACTGAATGTATATATATATTTGTTATAGTTTTTTAACATTTACCGGTCCGGTCCGGTTAAACCGACGGTTTGCCGCATGTAATCCGTTAACCGGACCGGTTATTCCGGATTTTTAAAAAAATTAACCACCGGATTTTTTAAGGCTTTTTTAACCGACCATTTAACCGATCCGCGGTCCGGATTGACGGTTTTTTCCGGTTAAAACCGGACCGTGAACACCCCTACTTCAGGGATTTTTCTCTAAATAATTGTCACTTAATATTGAACTCATCTCAATCCAAGAGATAGCATCTCATAGTTCTGATGAATGATTGAACAAAGAAAATCCCCACGTGCAAGTAAAGTGCAGACAGTAGCCAGTTAGTGTTGTTTAAACGAGTCTGACTCGACTTGGCTCGACTCGAGTTAGGGTCGTTAAGGCTCCAGTTTGAATCGAGCTCGAAGACTTAACAAACTGAGCTCGAGCACACTTAATGCTCGTTTGGTTAACGAGCTCGGCTCGGCTCGATAAGGCTCTCGGCTTGTTAAGGGCTCGAGCTCGAGCTTGAACACCCTAAGCTCAAGCCCGACTAGGCTTGTTTACAGGCATATAGCCAATAGAACCCACCAAGAATTTTGTATTATGGCAATTGACAATATCACAAGAACTGGTCCCCTAAAACATGAATTACCAAAGTTTTTGTCATACCAATAGGTGGCTAACTAATAGTTAATCATACTTCTCAAATAAATTGCTTTTGCATTGCA